TTTTTTTTGCTATTCTTTTGTCTATTTTCTTTTCTATTTATTTTTTACGAGGAACAACATTTAATAGAGGTAAAATTGAAACAAATTTTTTTTCTTTTTTATTTTAAGTTTTACAATAAGAGACAATTTTATTTCATTTTACACACTTATCAATGATTGAAACTCAAAACTTTTATATTTTGGTAATATTATCGTTACAATGTCATATAAAATTGTAATTATAATTTTATGTCTCATTAAATGAATATAATGTGATATTAAAATAAGTAGATACAATATTACAAGTGAATCTCTAAATAAAAAATTTAATTATATAATAACATATTATTATATTATAAAATTACATATCATGTGATATTATAATTATAGCATTTTAGTTTTTATTTTTACTAAAAAAATTATGAAGAACACTAACTATTGGATGAAGTTGGGTCTTTGGTATTAGGGTCCTCTCTCTCTCTATCTAATGGTTCTTATTTACAATATGATATAATCCAAATGATAAAACAAATTCATCTAAAAAAAAAAAAAAAAACAGAAGTAGTGTTTCTTTCAAAAAAAAAACTGGACACATTAGGCTTAACCTCCTATGCCACCCTCCAACTTCTTGTCATTGTGGGGTTTAGTCTTTCAACATACAATACAATATAAGTTATTTAACCCTTAAACTACTCGTGTCTTTGACAATTGCCTCAAAATTGGCAGCAGACAAACATGTAACTCATGTGCTTATCTCTACCCGTAAATTAAATTATGCCTACTCTCAAGATCTTCAATGGAATTTGATAGTTGAGAGTAGTAAAAGGACATTAAAAGTTGAGAAGATTGATTTAGAAAATTGAGGGTTCAATTATAAATTTTTTGTTTTGAAGTTCTATTTTATTTTTAGGTTACTAAATCAGATATTAGGTCCCATTCAAAGGGAAGGGTAAGAGTTTTACTATATTTATCAATCTAAATTAGATAATTTTTATTTTAGCATGGCAACGTCGTGGCAATGATGTGACACTTAATAGGCATAAGTTAATGAACAAAGATGGGCATGTGAGTCATGTACTCATTTTCCATCCATTTTGAAATAACTATAAAAAATACGAATATTTTAGGAGTTAAATAACTTATATTGTATGTTAAGGGATTAAAACCAACCAAAACTATAAATTAAGAGTGTGGCACAAGGAGTTAAGCTGATATATTGAATGTGAACATGAAAATGTTTTGAGGGTGTATTCGGTACAATTTTTCAAGTGTTTCAGTTTTTTATATTATTTATATTTCATAAATTTAAATTTTTTAAAACAAATTTATATTTTTAAATATTTTTTTAATTAATATTTTATATATTTTTAAAATAAAAAAATATAAAAACTAAAATATAAAATATAAAAAAATGTTGCTAAACGAAACCGATCATGATTTCAATAACTAAAAGACAATAAAAGATAAAGGGAACACGATTAAAAATAACATGAGTTATTCTTTAATTTAAAAAAATCTTTAACTACAATGAATTCCAGCCTAGAAGACAATTAGAACACAAGGTAACCCATATTCAATATATAGAGCTTCCCTTTCGTCGCCCCCGGTACAATTCATCCTATTTCTCATAAATAACAATTATTGTGAATAATTTAAATAGTTTCATGATAAACTTTTTTTAAGTGAAAATAAAAGATTGTAAGTTTTAGTTGCAAAAATATATAGATGAGGTTAGTTAATAAAAATATTAAATTGCATTTACTAACTTCGGCCTCTGCAGGTATTAAATTCGAATAATTATTGGAGATAATAAAACCTTGAACTAAGGCGCGGAATAGCCATAAATATGGCTTAATTAGGCTTTGATGGCAGCAAGAAATCTTAGCCGTTTGTTACCGTTTGTAGTACTAATATGAACATTAATATGCTGATAAATGGTATTTTTAGATTATGTTCATCCTACCTCTATATATTTGCTGCACTTTAATAGTAGGTTAAATGTTAAATTTTGACCTCTTAATTTTAAAATTTTGTATAATTTTTGTCTCTTAATTTTTTTATATGCTTTTTTTGTCTTTCAATTGAAAAAATATATATATTTTTAGTTCTTTCGTTAATTAATTCATTAAGGTCATCCAAATATATATATTTTTAATCTTTTAATTTATAATATATGTATATTTTTTATTCATCCACTAAAAAGTTTAAGAACTAAAAATGTGCATATTTTGATAAACTTAAAGAATTAATTAATAGGGTTAAAAAAGTGTATTTTTATAATTAAAGGATTAAAAAACTACATAAAAAAATTTAAGGACAAAGACTAAATAAAACCTTAAAGTTGAGGGACCAAAATTGATATTTTACCTTAATTGTACAGTAGTACATATTCATATTCTTATCCTTGCTATTATATTCTTGCATTCTCTATTATAAACATAAACTAGGGCCAAAAAAGGTGTCATTAGATATATTGCTTTATGGATAGTTTATATTCATAGAGTGTGTTTGTTGAGCTGTTATATCATGACAGCCAAATGCTTGTGATAGCATTCCTGTTGCATCAGATAACTAAAACTCCTGCATAGACATTAATCATCTTAATAGGAGTGACTTTTGCCATGTCTCAAGAAAAAAATGTGTAAATAAAAATGTTAATTTTATACTTTTTATTTAAAAACATTAATTTAAAATTTTTTTTATT